AGAAAAACAAATAAATAAATAAAAAAACCCACCATGGAGCCAACCAAATATGAAGAAACTCCTTTAAAGTATTTAACAATTGCATTTCCCCTTTAAAAATTAAAAAAAAAAAAGTTTCCCCCCCATCATGCTTTTCTGCAAAAAGCCTGACCAAGAAAACCACTGAAAAAGCAAAAATGCTCCCAAGTCCATGAGATCAGCAGCAATACTGGAAAATACCCTTTTCCTCCTTCACATGGTAATAAAGGAAAACAGAAACATGAAGAGTTGCTGTCTTGCATGCACCATTAACTAAGTAAATGAGGTCTGCACAGTCGTGCTGTCGATCTGCTGGTCAACCCTGCCCACCACAGACTTCTTGAACCAAACAGGCCAATACCAAAATTTGGCAGTGTGCTGGAGATGGTAAGTTGTGAGAGCTGCCTGTAAAGAACATGCAGGTTGAAGAGAAGGTCCCCTACCACGTCCTGTGCTGGGCTGGCTCCTCCCTGTCCATTGGCCATGGTGGCAGTTCTGCCTGCTCAGAGACAGAGAACTAAGGACCAAGCAGGAAGCAATTGGAGACAATGAAAGATCTTACTGAGGTCGGAACACTTTTTCTATGAACTAAAGACTTTGTTCTGTAATTTGCGTTCTTACTACTACATCATACTAAGGTCTCATTAAGGGTTTTCACCCCTTTCTAAGTGATTGATCACAAGCTGTTCCTCAAGACCCCAAGAAACATTCTGAGTTTCAGAACACTTACCACCTCCATTTTGGCTGACAGAAAATCCCATCTGCATTCAACCCAGCTCACCAAACCATATTCCTCTATGCAATGAACTACAGCTGTTCTCTGGTGCTGCTGCCTCTTGTCTTGAGGGCAACCATTTACAGGCTAGTTATTCTGCCTCTGTATTTCTCTAGAGATGTTCCTGCTATTGCTCCCAGGTAATTGCTCAGGTTGTGATGTGCAAGGCATCCTCAAGCCGAGCACTATAGACTCATACTTTAACCATGTCTGTAAAGATGAGATTCAACACAGGTACTCCTTCCAAGTATTACTTTCTTAAGATTTATGTGGTGGGCAATGACTTAAGCTTCAGCCCTTTCTCTGACTTCACCTGTTGATAACAACTTTCTGAGATGTGTTTTTCCTCTCCACGTGACAAGTATAACCAGGTCCTCATCATGCAGCATCAAATCACATAAAGAAAAGTCAACGCTTACAGGAACCGTTCCACACTTTAACTAAAGCTCCCGATAAGCTGATGAAAAGCCTGAAGTTATTCAGGTGTGAATGTCAGACCCAAAATGTCTCAAAGGTTTGGGATGAGAATGGTGTAAAAACAAATAAAACCAAACAAACCCAGAGGCCTCCTGCCGCAGTTTCACTAGCAAGGCATTATTACAGAAGACAGACACTCTCCTAGACCAAAAAGAAAAATACAAACAAGTAATTAAAGCATCAGCTCTCAGAGAAGCTTGCATTCACATGCAGTAGTGAAACACAGAATCACACAGCTGCAAGGCACTTTGACATCCTTTGCCATCACTATACCTTATTAACAATCTCTCTTTAAGAAAGGTTTAATGAGAGCCTAAGCTATTGTGCAGTTTTAGTTGCAGATTGTTGTTCAAATGAAGCAGAACAAACCCATAGAACCTCCCCCCTCCTCCCACCCCCACTTTTACAATTCCAAGTAAAATTTACAAGTACAGCATTCCAATTAACAGAAAGATGAGACAATTTCTTTTTAAGTCTGAATTCTGGAGCAGCTCCCAGAATCCCAGCCCAGCTGCCCATTACACACACACAATGCCCAATGGCAACGACAGCCATCCACAAGTGTGTAACTGTATAATGGAGAATCTTATTAGAAAACAAGACACACAGAGGAAGAAACGCTGTTCAAACTTCATGGCACCACTGCCCATCCTCCTCCCTCTCCAAAGAGTCAAAGTTTAAAAAGCTCATGCATTACTAAAGGGAAGATTCAGGATGTCTCACTGCAGTTGCACTCTGCTCCAGTAGTTTTTAAGATCCAATTCTAAGCAGAATAAAAGTAGCAGAAGAAGAAGCATGAGCAATAAAGACAAAGTTGTTCAATTCTCACATTTCCAACACTGTCAAAAAGAGGGACAAAAATTCCACCTGTCAAGAAGCATGTTTAAACTTAACACAGTGAGCTGTCAGCAGGCATGAACTACAACACACTTTGTTCACCCTAATAGGTACCTTAGTACAACAGGCACAAACACTTCTCATGTCTGGTAACTCTGAATTTTGCTTTTTATTTTTTTTATTTGAACAAAAATACTACTTACCCCAACTTCTTTCAGATCTCAAAGATCTCTACTTTTCATTTGGAAAACATGACCACGTGGGTTTTAAATTCTACAGCTTAGAAAGATGTTTATGAAAATGGATCTGCGTTTGAGACCGTTTCAGAGCCAAGAAAGCTTGAATTAATGTAGGTTTGCAGTATGAATATTTCACTGCTACACTTACAGCTCTGTCAAGAATAATTCAAACAGAAATTTCATACAGCACAATGTTTCTACCTTGGCTACAAAACTAGAGGTCTGATTTAAAAAAAAACCACACACATTTATATTTATAAAGTTGGAAATACAGATGGGTATTTCTGAGGATCCTATCATAATTCTAAATGCCTGCTGGTAACTTTGGACACACAGGCACCTTTAGAAAGGAAGACTGGGAAGATTTTGAATTCTGCCTCGTTTGTAGTAACATACCATGAATCTTAACATTGCACTTTACAAACTCCTCATGGATAGGCTCTGATTATGCTACAACCAAGTAGTTGGTCATACTACAGCATTTCAGTAGCTCACCTACCCACCAGCTAAACATGAACAAAGCACCGAGATCTGAAGATAATAAACCAAGACCAGACACACTACAGTCCTCACAGTTGGTGTTAGGTGTTTTCAGGAGACAAATGAACCATCCTTCCTTCCTCTTAAACTCCAAAACCATGGATTTACTTGAAGCTGATGGGAGTTCACTCTACACAAACACACCTTGCCACTCAAACTCCCAGCCATTCACCAGGACACGACATGAAGTTAAGGACCCGTGTATGGCAGAATACACTTCAGCTGCACAAAATTACCCTTCATCGGACTGAACAGAATTGTGCAGTGCAACAGAACACACTGCATACAGACTCGACCAAGCAAGACTTCACAAAATGTTTACCTGAGCCACAGGTAGTTACCAGAATTACCCCAGAACTCCTCTACACAATGTCACTGAACACTCCACTTTCCCTCAGGGAAGGGCAGTTGTGGGAACATGGCTGCTGGTGGTTCAAAGAAGACACCTCCCTCAACTATCCAGCACAGCCATGTAGAAATTCTCATAAAGAAACGTATTCTCATAGAGGGGAATCAATTTCCTACTAATAAGCAAGAAAGAATAATGGGATACATTCTGAGTTTCTCTTGTGATGACCAACAATAAATCATTTCTTAGCTCAGGTCATATCTTCCGTGGGAAGAAAAATGTCTTGCCATCATTAACTTCTTTTCAGCCAGTGATAATATATGATCAAATTTTAAGTAATTCAACCAGTTGCATTTAATTAGCTCTGAAAAACTATCTCAGATCATGAATCACAGACTTTCCACCTGTACGAAGCTTCCTTACTAGGTCAGAAGTGTATTTCTCTTTCCATGTGTGATCCATCTTGAATATCTAACAAGGTGCTCCTGATATACAGATTATAGTTCATATATCACACATGCAAATACAGACATAAGGCTCTTTCTTCATATAATTGAGTTGTCGAAAGTGTCGTTTCACTGAGTAGTTTAAAAAATGGGAAAAAAAGAACCCTCAGGTCCTGGATGGAATGGTCACCACTTGCAACAATTCAACAAATTTCTTTCTCCAGAGAGTTATCATCAAGGATGAGTAATTTAGACACCTCGATCAGGAAAGTAACAGACAAAAACTACTACTTTTTGAAAGCCAGAATGCAGAGAACTGCTATGATTTCAGACAAAACCACACTGACCTTTCTGTTTTCCAAAGCACTGACAAAAGGCTGTGATGTTTGGGTCCTAGCACTGCTTCAGATGCCTTTGTTACGTGCTGAACAGAGAAAAGCTCAGTCAGCTGATATCTGGGGACATCCACAACCAGCACAAAACAGGATCGTTTCTTCTATCTGACTGTATTAAGCATAATTGGTTTTTAACATTAAATTAGTTAAACCACAATCATTAACCACAAAAAAAAAAAAATAATCAGTTTTTATTAGCTCTCCAAACATGTTTCTGAAGCCGTTATTGTGCTTCTATGTTAAGATCAAGATAATTATAACTTTGGAATTTTTGGGTTGGAAAAAAAAGACAAGATTAGCAAACTTCTTTTGGAAGACAGAAATTAAAGGCTCACAATCTGCTCAAGTGTCAAACTGGAAACATTGCCCAATATTTGCCTTGCTCTAGGAAAAGAAAAGCTTTGCTATAAGCTCCTATTTTTAAATATGCTTTATAAAAAAATAAAATTAGAAAAATGGATTTTGTTTCTGTTCTTTTCCCAGCTTATCTGTCAAGCAGTTAAAAAAAAATGTTTCCACTGTTTTTTTTTTTGTTTGTTTTGTTTTTTTGAATTGAAGAGAGCAAAGGTTTTCATTTTCATAATAAAAATAGCAGCAAAAGCTGAACTGTCTCACTGGATTGGATTGAGCAAAGCTCATCTTTACTGCAAATACTTATTTTAGATGTTATCGTAAAATATAAATACTGTTGCTATTGATTGCACGTTGACACTCATCCTAGTTATGCACAACGTTAAAAACAGCTGATGGGTTTAATATCCCACATGTTAAAAGCTGCTTAGAGAGGAAAGGATGTATGACATCCATTACATACACATCCACTTCAGAAAAGGCTTGTTACGTGGACAGCAGGCATTTCAACAAGGATGGACTCAGATTTACAATTCTGTCTTTCACATAAAATAGCAAAAACTCCAAACAATCTTCAGTTCTCGGTGCCATTTTGGCTATATTTGGTAGACAACATTTCTATTAGCTCCAGTTGTGCAGCTGACATTAATCCTGAGGTTTTAAGAACGTTTTCCTAGCTTTCTTAGGTCTTGTATTACTGTTCTCTTCCTCATCTTCATCATGGAGAACATGCTGGTCTCTTTTTTTCAAGAATTTCTTCCCTATTGTTCCCACTAGTGTTTCATATCTGTAAAGATAATGAAAAAGTGACAGTTCTTACTATAATCAGAGAGAAGTTCAATGCAGGAAATCATAAATGTAATCAACAATTAAACTATTGTAAGAAGCCCATCACTGGAAGCTTAAGCAGCACAAGTGCTACATGATCACAGATTAAATTATTATTCATTTTGATAGTTTAAGACTTTTAGCAATCTGGAGCTAAGAGGGAATTAGCATAGAATACATGGATGTCAAAAGGTGGAAAACAACTATGAGATTTTTTAACCCTGAAAGTCATGGAGCTTCCACTGAACAAACACCAGAATTCCTGGATAATCAGTTCTGTGAAGTATCAAATGCTGTTTGTTTCGGTTTTTACTTTTTACGTTTCTCCTCCCACAGAAAATGCCATAACATAGGCCATATTTTACGACATAATCAGTATTGATTAGGAATAATGTACCTTCTGGCCATTTCTTCATCAGACACATCAGCCTCCATTTTATCATCCTCTTCAATTTCTTCTTTCTTGCTCTTAGAGTTCATTTGGACCATTAATTTCTGAAAATGAAGTAAGAAATAGCTTAAACATGTAACCCTGACAAAACGTCAGCTATGCTGAAATAATGTCACTGCCAGGATAAAAGCACAGAAGGCAGGAAGCAGTTTCAATACTGCTTTCCTACATTTGCAGTACCCTGTTTAGGCTGTACCACAGGGCTGCAAGAAAAGGCAACATTTCTCCTTGTTGCTAAGCTAAGTTTGATTTGCTTTTGAGAAAAGAGGCAACAGAGAGACAGTTTTTTTTCAGTGAGCTGCACTATTCAAGCATTCTCAACAACATGGCAGGCAGCTTCAGAAGACCAGAGATTTAGTTTCTAATTTTTTCATTGTGATGCTAGTCTTTGAAATGGTTTTGTTACAGTGGAAAAATATCTGCAAAGATCTACAATAAACTACTAGTATAAACCATGAAGCAATGATAGGCCTAATCACAGTGAAAGCAAGTTCAAAATAACTCTAGGAATGCCCCATTAAATAACCTTGCATAGCCTTCTGCATGCCTCTGGCTTTGTACTTTCATCTTCTTGTTTCAGTTCAGCAGTAACACTTTTATTACTACTTCAGTATGAAATAGTTGTATGAGCATGAATCATGCTGGAAAGAAATGAAAGATCCTCTTGCCCAGAACTTTTAACTCTGGAACCTCAAGCTCTTACTTATACAAGTAAGTGCTGAATAAACAGGGCTGAATGTTTGTAAGATTGGGCTCTGAATAAAAAAGGAGGAAGAAGAGCGAGCTATCTTTCTGGTGAGCAGCACGTGGAAAAGTCTCCTGAACTCAAGGAAGGAAAATCTGCAGGAGTCACATACTTATTAACCACCAACACCAGGAGGTAAGAGGTTTCTGTTTCTTAGATGTTGCACTGATTGGCATTTTGGCTGAAATCACAGCTTTCCTATATAAGGAAGTGCTGCAAAGGCCAAACAGCATGGAGCGTGAACACTGAAGTCCTCATTCCTGAGGGCTTCAATCCTCAAAAGACAATTAAATATTACCTCAATTTCCGGATTGAATCCTTTGAAGGACATTCTACCATAAAGTAGATCCTCACATGGCATAAAGCTCCTCTCTTCTATTATATAGCTCCTGCATGAAAGCCCAAACACAGCAGTTGTCAAACAGCGTGCTTTAATACAATCAAATTAAACAAACGCAAAAAGCATTTGCTGTCTTCCCCCACACAAATAAACAAAACTGCAGTGTATTTTATACCATCAACTACTTTCTGAAGATTAATTGCTCTGATAAATCTTTCAATACAAAGAGCTTGGAGTGCAAAGGAATACTGCTTGCCAGTAAAGCTGTGCCAGTTCCACAAGAAAATTAACTCTCCTGACAGAAAGCACTCTTTGCTGGTACGATTCCACCTACATTAATGCTTTTGCCAGAATAAAAATACCACATAAATATCACTCTCCAGGTGGCATTACTATACCAGCAAAAGCTTCTAATGAATTTTTCATTGTGATGTTAGACCTGGTATTATTTCAGCCTGTCAGGATATAAATGTGTAATTTTCTGTTCAGCAGAGAAAGATTTTCCCATTCCCCCTCCTTTTTTTTCCTCTTCTAATGACCCCGGAAAGAAAAGAAACACGATCCCAAACCATTCTGTCATACATGGCAACAGCCATGGAAAATAGCTTATAGGTGACCTATTCTATTGCAGTTAATTCACTGGATCACAGCTTTTTATAAATTATATGTTTTCCTTTAGAAGAATTCTGTTCTCTTTTTAAAGGACGAAAGTATTTAAAAAGTAGTTCCTTTGCTATTTAAAGCATCTTTCGACATAGCAGGAAGGGACATTTGCTTCCCTATTAACTAAGCCCTCCTTTATTTTTGCTTCATCCATTCTCCCTCCTTTTTCAAAAGCAGGATTTGAAGTGGTCTGTACTCAAGAAGACAGAACTTGCCCTGAATGGACCCAACCACGTGACTGGATTTCAGGTTACCCATACAAAGTTTCAAATTCGTTTTTTTTTGAATGAAAGAAAAAAAAGCAGCAATGAATGAATTTGTTCCTGCTTGAAAGAAACTAATTACATGCATCTAGAAGAAAGTGGGGGTGAGAGAAAACAAAGCATGAAGAAACGAAAGTAGGTCAAACGCTGGATTATTTAACCTTGAGAACATTTCTGAAAAAAAAAAAAACCAAAAAAAGCTGTACTCCTGGTCTGCTACTGGTTTTTTTTGCTTCTTTCAATTGGTTAGTAATAGTATTTCCTGTATAAGAAAAACGATTATATTCTGTTTGCACTATAAAACAATCCAATGGTGATAGGAAGTACAAAAGTAGAAGCTTACTCTTTCTCCTTTAGGTCTGGTAAATCAAGATACCAGTGTTCGTCACTAATTATCTTCTTTTCCTCTTCATCGAGTTGCTTTTTAGTTTGTGAGTCCAAACCCCTTTGCATGAACTAAAAAGAGAGATACAACTTCAGGCTTTTTGAGTATGTTCTGGCAGGCAATAATTACATGACAACAATTACTCATTACATACTTTTTAACAGTTGATATAAGCAGTACATGCTTTGTGTGATCTTCTCTGAGCTTGGTTGGCGTTTGGGAAAACAGAGCAGAAGTGAACAACTGTGGATCACAACCATCTACTGGAAGTCAACAGTCAGCCACATCCACACTTGGATACAAAGACACCCCTAAGAGCTGGGATCTTCCTTTGGGGCTACAGAAAGCACCTCAAAAACTGCATATGGCAGCAGGGCACATTCACACAGATACAATCTGCAGCAACAGGCTACCAGTACTGTTTATACACACTGATGCACAAAAATTGCTTGGTGGCCACCAAGAGGAACCTGTCTGTGCAACAGCACAGAAGAATCTTATCTCAATGAATCTTATCTCTCTCATATAAGCAGCATCATTTCCATGTTTAGCTAAGTTTGCAGGCTGACAGATAACACCACTGGGGCTCGTCTGTCTCTTGAACATTAGCAGAGACTTGGACATAATTTTATTCAGTTAGCGTGGACTTGGTTTGGGGATAAAACCCAAGAAGCCATCACAAAATACTTGTCTCCCACAAAAAACATGCATTACTGAGCTTATTTAGAGCACGCAGGTAATATGTGCATGCAATATACATCACATATAAACACCCACGCCTTCTCATCATTACAAAAAGTCCAGTCAAAACAAAACAAACCCCATCATGAAAACCAATATAGTGCTAACATCTCATTTTCCATTATATTTTTATTTGCATTCATTTGTGTAAGATCATTAATGAAAGAAAAATTGACTTTTGTTTTCGAGTCAACCCAAAATATGTCAAAGATTTCCAATTAAAATTACAGTATCTGCTTGAGGAAAATGAGGGAATCTATCATGTGGAAAACCATATCTCAAACCATATCATCATTCTCAAGGAGATTGTTTAGCCAGTCAGAAATCTCAACAGGAGAAATTTTGCTACAAGCACACAATTAAATAATCATTTCACATTACATTTTAAATATTACGTTCCTAACGATTACTTCAGGAATAAATAGATAAAAAAATCTGATTGTATTTATCTGTAAGCACATGTGGATGAATCAAAAATACACCAATGGGGGTAGGTGCAGAGTATGCATGTCAATAATCGTGGGGCTATCTGGATTAGCTGGGACGTGGATCAAGCAGTACAAGAACTAACTTACAGTCATATGACTCTATTATGCTAAAAGCAGGAGCCATCTTTTGACATCAAGAGGTGAGCACATCTCCGTGAAAAGATCTGACCACTGACCACACGCCACCTTTGAGTGCATATTGAATTGCAATGATCCATCTTATCCACACTTGCAGAGGCAACTGCTAAAAGATTATTAAAACATTTGTCAACAACAAGATCTGCAGAAGGGAAGCGCTGAGTATAAGATCTGTGTACAACCTTCTCAAAACCCACACACCTCTTTTAAGCTGGTTAACGCTGCCTGGTCTCTAAGCCTGCAAATGTCAAGGCACCGCATTCATAACTGGTTTTTCACTGCCTGAAGGAAATCTAAAAAACCCTCTAAAAATGGCAAAAAACAGCAGCATAAGTTTCACCTAAGAAGAGATTATTGCATAAAAATGAGAAAAAGATCAGCAGTGCTGCAACCCAGAGTCTTGCCCTCTCTTGCACTGCTGCCTAACTAAACTCAACATCCAATTGCTTTTGAGAACAATGTAGGAGGTGTTTTGTTCCTTCTGTGCATGAATTTTAGCCTTTCATTAGCAGCACCTACTTACTGAGGTAAATATTTCACCATCTTACTGTATCAGGGTCCACTCTACGTGGCAGGTTGAACCTGTCAGCTAAATATCTTTCAGCCAAGTGTCTAAAAATATGGCCCACATGAACAGGGGGTAAAAAAATGCACAATGTTAAGTGAAACACCACAAGCAAGAAGCCACAGAGGCCCATATAATCAAAAAATGGCCTGGGTTGAAAAGGACCACAATGATCACTCAACCTCCCTGCTATGTGCAGCGTTGCCAACACCAGACCAGGCTGCCCAGAGCTACATCCAGCCTGGCTGGATTATCAAAATATAACAGGTATCGTTTCAAAGAAAAGTTAATGGTAATCCAACTTTTAATAGATGCAGTCTCATCACAAGAGGATGCACTTTACTGAATTAGGTGTTGAATTACACAATGAGAACCAGAACCTGCAAATCCACCTGGCCTGAGACACAGAGCTGCAGGCATGGTGGGCTGGCCAAGGTTAACACCAGCAGCATATATGCGTCTATGGGAAAAGAGGGGGGGAAAAGTGGTCCAAGACACAGAAAGACAAGGGGCACAACGAACAGTCAATCCCTCTCCGGGGCAGCTCTCGTAGCAGCCCCTTGCTGGTGAAGTTGGTTGGAGCAGAGCAGTTCAGAAAGCAGCAGGGCTAAGCGAAAAGACAGAACTAAAGACACGCGTTTGTACGCATGTAAAAACACCGCGCACAGGACACAAACACAGCAGCCTTGCGCGGAGGTGCAAGAAGCGGAAATACCCCGACCCAGCGAGGGGCACTGAGATGGCGGCAGAGGCGCAGCCCCCACCGGGGAGGGCCGCTACAGCCCGGCATAGCGCGCTGCTGGCCCGCCCCATCCGCTCCCAGCGGCCCCGCAGCCAGGCCCGGCCCGGCCTCCGTTTACCTCCCGTTCCCGCAGACCAGCCCGCACGCCCCCCCCCCCCACCTCACCTTCATGCGCAGCAAATTCTTGGACAGCTTCGTTTTCACCTCCCCGGCCATGGCGGCCCCGGCGCTGCCCGTAGGCCGCGCTGGATCCCCGTGCTCGCGTAGCGCCGCGGCCGCGCACGTTGGGGGAGGAGAGGCGGGAGGAGGCGCTGGCGGCGCGGCTCCACCCTCCGCGTTCCGGGCCGGCTGCTGGCGGCAGGGCGCAGCCCGTAACCTGGGGCTGCGGAGGAAGAGGGCGGGGGAGGGGGGAAATGCATTGCTGGTGCGTGAAGTAGCGGCAGCCGGGCTGTATTGAGCCGGTATATAACCGGGGTGGGGGAGAGTGCGCTCATGAGCAGGAGTGAAAATCAAGATGAAGCGGTAAATTAGTGGAGGAAGCTTAGCTTCTTTATCAGTGCCTGTGCATGCTGTGGGCTTATGGCTTAATACATAATTTTCAGATGTTTATAATGGAAAAAGGAAGAGATTACAAAATCTTTTTCATATTGGCATTTGGAGTCTGCTTGATTTATTCAGCTATCGTTTTTTTAAAAACAAGCATTGACTTCTGCTTGAAAAAAAAAACAGAAACAGGGTGTAGTCAAATGTGGTTAAAGCTGGAGAGCAAATGGATTTCAGGATGCTGCAAAAATCTTTGCAGCTCTGTTGGTCCTGAATGATGGTTTTGGAGTTCACACTTGGCAATGCTGTCTCTAGGCTGCCAGGCTGGGCCCTGCTGTCCTGATGCGGAAATCCTGATGAGCTGCCAGCTGACACCCAGCCACCAGCAGGCACCACAATTTCTGTATATATCCTCATAAATCAGATTTCTGATGCCTGTTTTGACATTCAGCGCATAAACCAGGCAGTAAAGTAATACGAGTGAGAGTTCAGTGTTCAAAACTGTAATGAGCCAGTGTGCTCAGAAAGACAGTCTGGGAAGGAAAGTTCCCATATGTGCAAGATGTAGGTCAAAGTGAGCTTGAAGAACTTTTGAAGATTTATGCTCTAATAGAGTCCACAAAAATGTACAATGAAGGGCAAAGCATTACTGCAGTGGGAAAGAGGGAGGAGGAATAATCTGAATCCGGGCATCCTTACTACACAGTTAAGCTCAGAGGGTTAACATAACCACAAACACAAATGAGCCACATCCACTTCAAGGGCAATCCTTGAAGTAGTGGGGTAGAAATATTTAATTTCCACATAGGCAAAGCAGGTTCATCTCCAGGCTCCAAAAATGAGCTGAAGATGCTCTGAAGTTCAAGGCCCAAATGAGAAGGTCTCTGTGACTGCGGGATCTGTCCTGCTTCATTTGTCCCCACTGTGTTAGAGCTTCTGTTCATCATTAACAGTTTCCAACCCTTTCCATCAGAAAAAGCTGGGAAAAAGTTTGCGGTTTTCCAAACACAAACGTGCATCAAAGTCTGTTTGTACCTTAGCAAACAAACCAGTAAGGGAACGCCTTTAGTTTGTATGACAGCACAGTGCCTCCATTAACTCCCCACTTTGGCCTTATTTTCTGTTTTGCATGCACTCTAATGGTGCATTTGCTTTTTGTTGATCATTGCACGTTGAAGCCTTGCATTTAATTGCATGGCCTTCAATGTCATTCAGGGCATTTTCTGAGCAGTTTCAGCTAATTTATAGTCCAGAAACGTACTTCAAATGATTCTTTCTAAATACATTACTCTGCACCCATCAGCACGTCTCCAGCTACTATGCCTGGTTTGTGTGGTGCCCTTTGTGAAAGCTTTCCCCATTCCTTGCACATCACCCTCTCCTGCCTGCATGGCAACATTTCATCAGTCCAAGCAGCCCCTTTCTTCAGCAGCCACTGCATATATCAGCAGCGTGATACCTTTGATGTGATACCACCAACTCTTTAATCTTTGGGAGCTGAGCCTAATAATTTAAAACGGCATGCAGGAGTGCTGGAAGCTGGGAGTGAATGGTGTGAGGGGTTTTGAACTTGACTGTGGAATATTCTGGGTGCTCCCTGGGTTGGCATCCACAGCCTCGGACCTGTGGTGCCCCAATGACACCATGGGCTCACAGAGGTATGCTGCTGGTTGTCTCACGTGCCGGCACATCAGCCAACAACCCGCCTCAATGTGTGCAGGCAGGCAAGAAGAAGTATTTTCCTGTAAATGCAGTACAGCCCGCGTGATGTTTATTTAGAAAAGTGGAGGTTGTAAAACAGCCTGCCATGAGAATTTGATGTATTTCAGCAGTAAAAAAGCCTGAAGGAAATTTTTGGATTACATCCTCCCATAGCTAGAATTGCATGGGGAAGTTACAGATAACAATCAGCTGCCTCGTGAAGCAGATTATACTGTCTGGTAGATCTGAAGACACTCCATTGATTATAGGAGAAAGGTTTATGATTTACTGACGGTGGTGGAGGCAGGTCAGAAGAATCCAGCCCTGTAATGATTCCTGCTTGTGAGACGCAGTGAGGGTGAGGAGCTGAAGCAGAAGGGATATTGCTTAGAGAAGATACAAGGCTGTTGTGCATGGCAGTCACACCCCTTTCCCCCAGCTCTGACAGCTGCACAGCACCTTTGCTTTCAACCTGGAAATCCATTTCTTTTTCAAAACGAAAATGCTCAGGGAAATAACTCAGGGGAGAGGAGCTCCATCTCATCAAACATTATGCATTAAGCAAGCAGATAAAAGATTTTTCTTCCCAGGAAGCATAGTCCCATCTCTGTAGTAATAATAGAAGTCAAATCAAAGTTGTCATTAGCGTTATTTAAGAATTAATCTCTCTTGAAACAACACAAGTGACAGTTGTGAGCTAATTTCGTGCCAGTGGGATCTAATCTGAGGGAAGTCATGGCTTGCATTTTCTTGCATTTCCTTTTATTTATTCATATGCTTGCAGTTTTGTGATTGTAGCACCAAGCTGATATCTCAGGCCTTACACCGCTCAATTTGTTACGAGCTGACTTTAAATCCCAAAGCGCCTTTTTACATATCTCAAAATACTCAAAGCCTTTTTTTTTTCCCTCTGCAAGTATCAAAATTCTGATAGTCTGACAGGCGAGTCATTAACTTGTGTCAAACTCCTCCCTGTGCTGTGGGTGAGGACTTTATGTGTTCTCCTCTGTGAACAAGGAAAACAAGGTGTAGAACTGCTGCAGGTGTGTTTGCAAACCTGAAAGAGTGCGAAGTGCCGCGTAGGACTGGGCAGCATCAGAAACGTGCTTCTGTACCTTGGTGCTCTGCTCAGAGGCAGTGTGAAATTCTCTGAGCAGCAGAGATGTGTGGTTTTGAGGCAAGGAGTCTTTGTTTTTATCTCCCTTGCTCTCGCTTAATGCGGCGTATTGACAGCTCCGATGTCCCTGGGTGGCTGGAGATTTCTTACCATATTCATTCCTTTTGATGCATGCATGTATAACCTGTCGGCCGGCTCGCTTTGTACCTAATGCTCAGAGGACATGGATTTGTCACAGCTCTCAGCTGCAGCATGTGGCATGGCACATCAGGCTGCACTGACTCATCCATGCAGCCTTTGAAGTCCACTTTCTGGTGATGGCACCGGTCGAGGTGGCAGCTGACACATACAGAATGACTTCAATCCTTGCCATGATAACCCTAAGGCTTCCAGTGGCTGGGCAGAAAATGAAGCTCAGCTCAGATAACATGGGTAGGGCAGCTCGTGTTGTGAGGCTTTCCTTTTCATAGCCTTACATGCTCAAAATGTATGTGGTGTAAAAAGGTGCGAGTTAAAGACGTGGCAAAACAGTTAGAAAATCTCTAGAACAACCAAGCTGTGCTTTGATTAAAAAAAAATAAATAATTGCCAGTTGTCACTTTGGGAGAAGACAATTAATTCTAAGTGCTTTTGGCTGTCCCAGTGGCAGGATGACCTTTATGTCAATAAATACAATAATTCCTTTTTGATTACAGAAGGAAGCAGCTTGATAATGGTAGCTCCCTATCTTCTATCATCACCTAAAGTGCAGGGGGGAGCAGACACAGGTCTGTCATTCTGATAAGCCTAAAAATTTGATCCTATGATGCAATGATTTAATAGATCCCACTGCTAGGAGTCAGAGCAGAGAGAGTGACTGGAGGATGGGGCAGAGCATCCTCCTCTTCGCGTTCCTTTAAAAACCAAGCAGCTTTTAGCTCTTTGGATTTGATGGAATCACAATTAAAAGAGAAAAGGAAAATATCACCTTCCGTTTGTTAACTATAAAAATGCAATCTGGCAGTGCTGCTGGTGGTTTGCTATTTCCCAGGTCAATAAATGGCTCCCCTGACTTTAATAAACATTGATGCTGCAGGCTTGTTCTACAGTGATTGAACCTTTTTATAGTTTCAACCGCTCTCGCATTGCATGAAAGCCTGAAGATTTTTTTTTTTTCCTTTTTCTTCAGGAGGGTTGGTTCTGATTGATTAAATTGTCATTTTCTGAGTTAGTTGCTGAATTAAAACTTGGCATTTTTAACCGTGTGATTTGTTTAAAGAGACAGCTTTTTGATACGGCAAACCAGCTGAGAATTTTTAAGCAGTAAGAGGAAATTTTACTCACTTTGTTCTCAGCCTTTCATCACTGCATGACAAAAAAAGCTCCTGAAAACAATGTAGAGGCTCTGATATAAAGAGGAGGTACTTACATTCATACTCGTTTCTTTATTTCATCATAGATTGGATGGTATTGTATTGCTTTTGATTAGTAGTTGGACACTTCTTTGCTGTTAATGTGTATATCCTTCCAAGGACTGGGGAAGGAGTTAGAGATGTAAATGTGAGTGCCTCCCGAAGGATATTAACAGTAAGTGGCAGGACTGTACTTTGGACCAGCTGAATTATCCCCTAATGAGCACAATGTGTTTCTTTACACTGAAATGTTGGGCTCTAAGCACTCCTAAGTCAAATAACAACAAGGGTTTCACCTGCATCCAGCCCATGCATGGTTCAAAGACCTTGTAAGTCTTTAGATACTGAGAAAATCACGTCCATGTGATGTGTTCATTCTTTGGTTTAACTGGCTGCTGCTTGCTTTCTCTGTGGTTAACTACTGGGTTTCTAAGCCTAATTTTTTTCCTCTCCTTTCTTTCTTTCCCCTAGTTTAATGCAGAATTCCAGACAGTAAAACA